ACCTACCTTATCTAACTATCTACTTATCACCTACCTACCTACCTACCTACCTACCTACCTACCTACCTACCTACCTACCTACCTACCTACCTACCTACCTCTAAAATATATATCTCTCATCTCTCTCTCTCCCTCCGTCCCTCCCCTACACTGGGCTCTCTTAGAATTGCAGATCGAAATTCTAGAGAAATATCCCTCGACACATGCGAGTCCAAATTGAGACTTTTAAACTTTTTTTTTTCGGGGATGGTTTAGGCTTGGTAGGAAGAATTAATGCCCCCGCAGCCTTAGTTTACGATGGAAACGCGAATGCCGGCTTTGCAGCTTCCTGCCCCCTCTCTCCGCTTTCTCGGCGAACTGAAAAAGAACGTCTAAAAAACTACCGAGTTCAAGTTTGCCGCGCCTTGGTGTCGCGAGTCTTGCCTTTCTTACCTCTATATGGTCTTCTTTCCCCGGATGTTCTTCCGCTCTTCCGCAGCGGATGAGCGCTCCGGCGGGGCTAAGTGGGAGTCATGGCTCGGCGGGCTTTGTGAGTAACCCCCCCCCCCCGCTTCCCCACGCAGTCCCGGGCTCACCCTGACCTTGGCAGCTCAGCTGAGCGCGGGACAGTCCCGTCCTTGGGTCCCGCTGGCGGGTTCTCCTGGGCTCCCCATCTGCAGAGCGAGCCTTCCCAGGGTCGCCTCCTGCCTCCGCTTTTCATAGAAGCTTCTTTGCAAGTTGCAAGGTCTCCGGTCGCCGCGGGAGCTAAAGCATTTCGAAACTGGAAGTGCTAGTTTTGTGCAGTGCCCTTATTCCAGGAGGTGCTTTGCAAAGCACGCGTAACGCCTCCTCACGTGTTCGGCTTCCCTTGTTTTCAAATGAGAGAGAAAGAGAGGGAGTGGGTTTCTTTTCTTTTTTGCATCAGTCCCTCCTATGTGATTATCGGTTGTATAATGTTTTTTTTTTAAAAAAAACTGTGATACTGATGCTTAGTGGTTGTTAAATGGCATCGCCTTGGTTTGATTCCAGGTGACTGGACAAATGTCCACCGTTTCAATCTGTTTCTAGTCACTAGTTTAATTTGCAGCTCTTCCAAGGACATTTCAGTAATTCATTTCATGCTGTCCATCTACACGATTACATTCCTCTTATACTTTTATCAACCTTGCCAAGCATAATAGATGTTTGGGGTCCAAAATAACCTCCCACCACATGCCCAAAAGTGTGCTCGGTTTTACTTGCTGATGGTCCTGTCAAAGGAACAATCAGTCTTTATTTCATCCAAAACTGATTTTATTTCTTTGCTGTTTGTAAGTACTCTTAATATTCATCTCTAAGGCCATAATTCAGAAGGCAAGTACTTCTTTCTTGGTGTATAACTTTCATAGCTATTTGTTACATCCACACCCATACAATTCTTGCTTTAGTCTGAACTTTTATTATCCAAGTATCTTATTGAAATGAGCTTATTAAGCTTCCCATTGCCTCTTCTCTAGGATTAATCTCTTTATTTCAAATTTAAAGACATCGATGAAAGTTCATTCTTACTTCATGTTTACATATTACAGTGAAGCCAGACCCTATATAGATGTGAATTTATCAGAGGGATATGATTTAAATTTGCAAGAAGACTCAATTAAACAAATTATAACAATGGTCAGGAAAGTTTTATTAATGATTATCTAAATATGGACTGTTTTTACGTGCAACTTCAATACCCATTAATATTTAGCATAAGTCATAGATTTCAGTTTTAGAAAGAAAAGATATCTCTTGGTGTTTTGCCCATGATTGTTTTACCTGTAGGTAGAAAGTTTGAATAAAAATAATACCGTAAAGAGTCTCTTGCATCCTGCTGCTCTTTTTCTCCTACATTTATTTCAATCTCTTGACTTTCTGTAGGGTTATCTGCATATACTAAGGACTCAGAAATGTATTTCACAGAACTGTAGGAATATGCTTAATTATATTACTTTTAGCTTTATGTTCTCCGATTCTTGCATATATATCCTGACCTCCTCTTACTAAGATATTAATTCCACACTGGTTCTAATGAAGTAATTTTGCTCTTAGATTTTTTTTCCTTGGTAGCTCAGTATACCTTGGAAGTTTGCTTGTTTCCTGTTCATTGTCTGTGAAATTTATTAACTGAGTATCTTAATGACTTACCTCTCTTTTGTAAGTGCTTCCCTGTTCCAAAATTTTTGAAATTGCTTCATATTAGAAATGCTCACGTGTCATTTTAAAAAGACTTTCATTATCACATCATGGCAGCTATCATGGGAAGGTTTATTACTGGAAAAACATGTACAAATGTTTTATACAAATGGTAAAACTATATATCATAAGGCATATACAAATCTCATTTAATTCCTAGAGAACATTATTTGTACAAAATTTTATAATATTTAAAGTAGATCTAGAGTTTTAGGTGCTCAAAGTATAAAATTATTCTGGTGTTTTATTGTCCTTTATTATTTTCCTCATTTGCTTTATTATTATAATTATTATTTACCTGTTTGCTTCAGTTGTTTGTTCCCGCTCTTACATTGTTTACATCTAGTATGATAGCCATAACATTTCCCGTAAATGAAATATACAGTACCTGCTTTTAACATGATTGTCGCTTTCATAATTATTCTGCTATCTGTAAGTTCATATGGTATTTTGTTCTCAATAACTGTTCACTCAAGAAATAGTGTAACTGTTTTCTTCTTAAGGGATTTGGAAATGGTCCAAATAGTCTTCTGGAACATATGGGGATAGTGACGATGCAATTGCTTCTAGAGCAAAAAAGCCTCTGAACATTTTGTTTAATTATAATAATTTACTAATATAATAATAATTTGCTAATAAGTATATAAATATGTACATGTATGTCACTTTAATATCTGAAATATTACACCAACATTGAAAATTCTGAATGAAAGTTTAATTTCTTACAGCTTTATTTTATTATTTATTTTATTCTTTGCTTTATTCTGCTATATACCAAATACAGCTGTATTTAGGTTGGAGATAATTGTTGAAAACATAGAAGATTAATTTTTATTGCTTTCTTTCTTTAGCCATGTACATATAAGACAAAAATACTCCTTATATTAAAGAAAATTTCTAATCAGATTTTACATTCTCCACATGCTTTACATTTACAAGAATTCCATAGTTCTCAGAAATATTTATTTTCTTTGTCCGTAGTTATCCGCTTTATCAGTTAGGAAATCCTCCAACAAGAATTTTCCGGACAGATTACTTCTTGACCCTGGTGAGGCCTGGGCGCCCACTTCCAGAAGATACAGTACAGTTCCGCATCCCCATGGAGTAAGTACATACATTTGAAGAAGATAACACATTTCTTCTTGAGTTAAACTATTCGGAATAATGTTATCCAGTTTCTCAGAGATAATGGTGAAGCAAGTACATTATGCAAAGTTATCAGTAACAACTGGAGCCAGTTTGCTTGTTCATCTTTGTGTACACTGTGTTCCCTGTAGGCTGTTCCACAACTCTGACAAGTTCTTATAATGGGTTATGGTTCTTACACTTCCCTGTCCATATCTCAGTAGATTGAGTCTTTTCTATTGGATCAGATAGAGGCTTGGGAGAATTCTGAAATAGTCTCTTTCTTTCCCTAGATGCTGAGGTTGAGAAACACTGATCTATAGTAAAATTTTCCAGATTGAACCTGGAAGCAGATCAGAATTGCATATTTTAAGTGCCTGGGAGTTTTTCTCTATTTTTTTTTATACTTAAATAAGAGTTCACTTTTTCCCTAGAAAAGCCCTGTAAACACGCCATGCTGCATTATTACATAACTGATTCTAAAAGTGTCAGCGAAGACTGTGTTTCATAGACCCCAGCACTACTGTAAGATTGGAGGTTTTTTGTACAAAATGTCCATTTTATGCATTTTGTACATTGCCAAAGTGAAACATTCAAATAGTGTAACCCCGTCTGTCCCTACAATGGTGGCCAAAAGTTATTAACTGGATTTATTTCAACCAGGTTGCTCCATTCAATTCTTAGTTTGAGTTCCAGCAGAAATCTCAGAAGACTCTCTTTCAGGAGAATGTAACCTCATGGTTAACAATTTCTGTCTCTCTGTGGGACCTGCATAATAAGATCCTTTCTCTTGTTTGGCTTGAGCTTTCTTAGCTTTCACATTGTTAATAAAATAGTTTTCCAATATATCAGGATGCTTCTTTCAAAGACAGGAATTGCTGAAATTAATATTCTGACATTGTTCCCTAAGGTGCCCCAACTGTTTGCTTGCTTTTGTTACAGCATGACAAGAGTAGAATTGAAAGAGTACCTTGAAAAAATATATAATGTGCCAGTAGCTGCTGTACGAACCAGAATACAGTTTGGTGAGTCTTCAACTGAAGAACATTGATTATTCATGATTGACAAGCTCTCTTTCACATACTTTTTGTTTACTGAATATTTGCTATTTAAAGAAACAATTGTAGCCTGTTGATTAGTGCAATTTATATTCCTTTGCAAAATAGTCAATTCTTGAATGAATTGGGACGGGTTATTTCTTTGTTTTTACGAGAATCAATTCTAAGATTATATTAATTTTTTTTTAAAGTGTTGTTGTAGTCCAAAACTGATATTTGATTTAACCTTCTTAGATAAGTTATTTCACTTCATATAATACTTTAGGATGAAAGGACTCAAACCCAGCTGGGTTTGTGCAAGGCAGAATTGCAGATTAAATCCAGCAGGTTTAAGTTAAGGAAGTACATCTGTAGAACAAGTAACTAAAGGATATAGTCTAGTGAAAAAGAACACACATAATAGAAATAAGGGAAGAGGAATTGCATTGTATGTTCAAAATATCAACACCTCAGAAATTCTAGTGAATGAACTTGGTGACAATGTAGAACGTTTGGATTAAAATAAATAAAAAATACAGAAGAAATGGAGAGTTTGTGAGGCCTTCTAGTAATTGTATGACTTGTTTTGCTGTCAGCTGTTTCCATCACAGAATGGAAGAAAGCACAAAAGGATTGACTACCATGAATTTGATATTAGCCTACAACAAAGTTAGTGATATAATTTGTGATATACATATAAAATGATGGGAGAAAGTGACTGTGTAAAATTGGAATTTTTAATATTGAAGAAAACTAAAAAGCACTTATTTTAATTCAACACATATCTTGAACTCTAAAGAAATGAAATTTTCATTTGGAACAGTGAAAGAAAAAATTGTTTTATAGTGGGTGAGAGTTTATAAAGCCACAATTACAAGCAAATCAAAGGAGCAAGGACAGCAAAAGAAGCAAATGTCAGAACACAAAGAGCTTATGGGGGATCTGAAAAAAGGATACATGATGATAATAAATAAAAAATAATAATTAGAAAGGAAAAATGCAGGCAGTCTGCAACTGAAGAACTGCTGTCAATAAAGCAAAAGTTCTGAAGGAATTGAGGCTGATGAATGTAACAAGAAAGGCTCCTTTAGATATGTTCAAAATAAAAGAGAAAAGGTGGTAGCTACTTCACAAAAAGGGCAAAATGCTAACTGGTACTAAGACAGCAATAACAAGGCTACAGCATGGAGGTGGGTGGAGCACTGTTGCTGTACTCTTAATTTGGCTCGGTGTGCTCCAAACAGAGGATCTGTATTTCACCTCAAAATGGTGAAGGATAAGATAAAGAGGTAGGATTGAAATGTAAGGCTAAAAGAAATAGGAATTTAAATCTCCAGAGCTAAGAGAATTGCATCATAGGATGGTTAAGGGACATAGTATTGAGATGGTTGAATCTTTGTGAGTTATATTTGAGAAACCCTGGAGAATGGGTGAAATGCTAGATAATGGGAAGAAGACAAATATTAACTTTTATTTTAAAAAATGAGAGAGGGTGGTAGGAAACGGAACTTTAGATCATTACTTAATATAGGCGCCAATTCTAAAGCTGATAGGAAAGAAAGAAGAAACATAATGACATCACTTACAGTAAGAATGCTGATTGTATGAATTCTGTAGATGTAGTATATATTGATTTCAGCAAATTATTGGACAATATATCTCATGGCTTTTTGATTAGCAATATTTAATCATAGGCTACTTTGAAAATATTCTCAGAGCTCATCAAACATATTGAGTGGGCTGCCACAGAAGTTGATATTTCTATTAATAACTTATAATTAAATGCATAATGCTGCGTGGCTTACAACAATTAAATATTGCCATACATTACACAAATTGCAACATTTATACAAAAGACCTTGGAACCCTAATTGAACTGAAAAGATGAGTGCACTGTAACTAAATAAAAAGTTGCATGAATAAAAGGATGGTTTCTAAATCACAAGAAGGAAAAATTCCTCATCTAATCCTTTGAGGTCCCGCCTCCATAGCAGGTTCTATTCCAAGCACTTTCTATTCTGGAACAGAAAACATACTTGCGTATTGTAAGAAATTGAGACAAATTTAGGAAAAGTGATTGAGGAGAAATAATGACATTGATTCAGAGAAGAAAAGTAAGGATGATCTGGGAACTAGAAACAAAATCTTTTGAAAAGAAATAGAAGAAACTGGGAATGTTCAACCTTGAGGCACTCTTGTTTCTTTGTCAAGACAACTATAATGAGTGAGTATGAGATTCAGTAACTTGTGAGCAGTAAAATTGCTGCATGATTAATGCGCCAGTCCTAAATACTTCTGCTCTGAGAGAAGAGTTTACCCACTTAGGAGTAGCCACAGGCTCCTTTCTAGACATCACGTAAATATGATTCCTGTTTTCTCTAACTGAAAGGGTAAGGAAAAGGAACCATTAGCTTTTGGTAAGTCAATATGTTGGTCTATTTAACAGGCTCAAACAAACAGAGGGATGACAAAAATAGACGCATCAAAAAGCCAGACTACAAGGTCGCCTATGTACAGCTGGTGAGTAAATGCATCTGTTTGGAAGCTGGGAAAGTGAGGGACTTGTGGTAGATTTTAGTTGAGTCAATTATTTATGGGTTTCAAAATTCTGTTATGAAGACAATGTTTTTCTAAAAGGTATTGAAAAGTGATTGAGCCCTGGGGAAACAGGATGCAAATTTCAGCCAGTCTGGTCTGAAGGATCTGCTCTTAAGTTCTTTGAAGGCGAAACTTCTATGTGAAAAAAATCCTAGGCATTAACTTGGAATGACAAGCTGCTGAAGGAGTAAGAAATAATCAGAACGCTGTCATTGGTTACTTAGCCTCTTAATATTAAAATGTTCAGGTTTATGCTAGTTGGCATATGTGGCATTGGTAAAACCCCTTGTAGAGATTTCTTTTGAAAAGCTTCATGAACAATCCACATTACATAACTAAACTGGGCTTTAGCACTTAGGATAAGATGTTGTGAAATTCTCTGATTGAAAATATATAGATTTGCCGTACGTTCCTAGACAAAAATTATAAAAGTCAACCTTGTTTCCCCCATTACCTCTCAGAGCATCTGGGCCAAAAGAGAGCAAATCCTACAAATAGTTGTAAATACATGGAGGGTTTTTGTTTGTTAATTATATGGTAGAATATGAGAGAAGCCAACACTTTTGAGGTTAATGGGCATGTTTGGATTTTTGTAAGCTTGCTCTGGGCATTCTGATAAGTTGACTGTTGCAGGGAGACTTTCCTGCTCATAAAATGTCATAGCTTTTTGCAGAAGCACATAATCCAAGTCGCTGGATTGCCCCAAATTGCTCCCTTCCTGCTTATAGAATTAACTTTTTACCTTTTCCCCTTTTTTTCTGGATAGATGGATAAAGTTGAAAGCAAACCACTGAGTTACCACTATTTTTATTTTCTAGAAGTATCCGGGAGATGGGTTTTTTTTAATGGCCCAGGGATATTCTTGTCACTTAATATGAAATCAGAAAATCAGGTAGAAGAGATATAGTAGTGCTCTATTTTAGGTCCTTGATGGATCTCATTAAGCTGCACATTAGATTGATTTCTCTCCCCACCACACTGTTATTTCAGTTGTTCAAATAGCAGCTTTTTCTGCAGTAAAAAAATAACGATCAAAACTATATCCAGTTACTGATTCCTCTACTCTGTTCTCTTAGTGTTGCATATCATAGATTCAATATGTCTAACCAGCCCCTGTTATTTTATAAGCAGTGACTGAGGCACCCACCCATTTTTGAGCAGGAGAACAATCAAAGTTATTCCCATTGTCACTGATAATATTTGTATCTGCTTTCTGTCTCTCATTTGTTTTTGGATAATGGTTATTGTAAAATCAGTTGTCCACAGCTAACTCCACCTTCCTTCAAAGGGCAGGATTTCATCTCTGAAGATGCATCAGAAAGAAATAGATAAAAAGCATTGGGACTTTTGAGTTTCTCCGAAATTCAGTCTGGCTGAGTGCCTCCATTTTTCTGGACTTGAGAAAAAAGAGGCAGGGCCTACACATGTCTCTTCCCCCCATCCCCACTTTAAAATGTTTTTACTTACATACCTAAACCTAAATTGACCTTATGTTTTTGGCTCTTGGCTTGTCACTCTGAAGGGTGGGTGTAACAGGACTCCCATGTTTGTTTTGTGTGTGTTTTTTTTTGTTTTTGGCATCTTTATTATTCTTTAGAATTTGCTGTGCATGCTAGTGAGAATAGCTGATCTTGGAAATGACTTGTATCTACTTTTAACTGCCTTTAGACCAATGGAATGTTTCTTCAGTCTTAACAAATGTAGCCTTACCTATATAATACTTTTAAGTTGATTTTGATCTTATTCTAAACACTGACTGTTATCTGCTCCAGACTGGAAAGTATTTGACCAATAATATCTTCTAAGAGTTGTTTATAGTTATAGCTAATTCTGTGGGGTTCCTATTTCAGTTTTGTAGCTGATCTGTCTTTAATTCAGTATTCCATTAAATGTGAAGAAAAATATTATACTTATTCTTTGATGTACCCTGTCACTTCTATGCTGAAATGGTTATCATAATTCAGCAGGCTTATCTAGACTTTATTTACATAGGTGAAGTAAGAGGCTTTAATAGTAGATTCCTGCATACCTGCCGATCATTTAAATAACTTCCTTGTTTTGCCTTAATTCAACCTCTGGTTCACCCTTATATTGGCACAAACAAATCCATGGCTTAAGTGAGTTCATGTTTATGGCACGTTCCAGGTAATTTTGTAAGAAAGCAATCTGTTTGGGAAAGTTTTTTTTTAATGTTGGCTTTCTTAAATAGTCAATAGATGGCAGCATTATTCTTCCTTGCATTAGTTTCTTGACGAGTTGGCATTCTTAGGTATCTGAGAAATACTGTTTTGTCTTGAAAGCAGCAGTTACGTTTCTCTACTCTGGAAGTCATCAGCTTCTGATTTCCAGGCCAACTTATGCAATATAATATGCACACATTAATCATTGCATTCAAGTGTTGGAAGATGAAAACGCTGATGGTTGGACAACATATAATACATAGCAATATGGGTGGAAGGAGAGAACTAATACATATATGTAGCAATCCAGGTTACCTTGAAGACAGAGGACTTTTTCCTCTCATACCCCAAACTTGGCAGATGAGGGTAGGGTTTTCCCCTCCTTAGTTCAGATAACATTTGTCTGCCATTGCAAATGACCTCAAATTATTGCTTGTGGTCAGTATCACCTTCTGTAGTTTCAGTTTGTTCTTTATGTGCTTTTCCCCTCCTCCTCAGGAGAAAACATTTTGTAACCATGGTTATAAAACAGAACTACTCCTTGTATTTCCTATTTTAAAAGTTAGAACCAACTTCTTCGTTACTATTAAAATTGTTTCTGTGCCTTGAAAATTATGTTCTTGTTTCTGATTGTTTGCAGAGTCAATAATCGCCTCTGTTAGAAAGTCTGAAAATCATTTTTCCCCCTAATTGGGGCCCAGTCATTTATATTAACCAATTATTATGAAGTTCCATAAATGTGCTTCCTCAATGGCTATATGGGAACTGTAGAAGTGAGCACTTGACAGATGTGACAATATCCTCAAGAACAAGTTGAGCAGTATTTAATTGACTTGGAGTCTACAATTTCTTTCTTTTATAAAGTGCTGTGCTACAATGTGTGCTAAAACAGCTTATCAGCAAGGGGCCATTAACCATTTTCCTTACTAAGCCAAATAATTGAACCTATTACAGATACTCGGATGTGACTTCAAATGAGTTAAAAGACATTTATGGCACAGTTATTCCTGGAGATATGGTTCAAGGTGTAGAATGGTCAAAATATACTAACTATTGAACATGCACAGTAACTATTTTTTCATAAAGCTTTCAGCATGCAAGAGTCAAACCAGTGCAAAATTACTGCTCGGTATTGTGGAGGATTTATAAAGCTTTCAGTTTTGAGAGTTCAATGTAATATCTTGGCGGTTTCAAATCCTCTCTGGCTGCCAGCCAAGATCAGCATTTCTCGGCAAAACAAGGGATGGAAAGAGCCAAATTGTCTGCACTGACTCTTGTTTATTAAAAGGTTCCAGATACAGATTGATTTCTGCTCAATATTTGGTTTTGACCAGCCTTGAAATGGCATCTGTAAGCCTTTTCTTCGAGAGCTTGTATCCATTGTGTCTGAATCTTCCTCGGTTGCCTTAAAATAAAACGAGAAGGTGGGATAACCACCTCCACTCCAAATCATTTGCTTTAGTAATGTAGTGACAAATGTGACAAACATAGAAGAGAAGTGCAAGGACTAGAACCATGGCTCATCTTTGTAGGCCATATCCTTCCTTTTTGGACAGAAGGGCTGTGTCTATCATAGACAAGGCCTCTCAGTTCTCACCTTGGCAGCAAGTCAAACCCTAGTATGCGTAGCAACATCAGTCAATGATGATGTTATACATGGAAGTATAACATGCAGGTGGCAACCATACAAACATTGCCTGATGGGTTTCCAGTGCTGTCTTTGTAATTATATTTGTTGTTTTAGTATTTTTTTTAAAAAAAGTCTCTATCCTGACGGATCCTGTTAAAAGTAATGCAAACAACAACCATATTCAAATAATAAAACAAAACCCTTTTTTCCCAGCCAATAAGTGCCAGTTCAATATGTGCCTTCAAACAAACAACCAAACAACAACTAATATATTGCTTCTAGAAAATATCCAGGCTTTGATTTCAGTAGATGCCCCCCCCCGCTCCCACTCTAGAAAGAATGTTTGAGAGCAAACATTGCCTAGTTTTCCCTCATTGAAGGCATATTGTGGAAGTGACTTTTTGCAAACCACAGTGGTGGCGTTGAGTAGTTGTTGTCATTCTGGAAGGAGTGTCCTACCTGGGTCCAAGTAGAACTTTGAATTGTGCCCCAATGTTGTACATTGAGGTTCTGTTCACTTTAATCACAGCATTAGAAGGGGTGTTCAGTTTCCTGCTGATGTTGAAAATCTTTCTGGAAAGTTATGGTACTGGGAAGGAGTGGAACCAATTGTTCATGTTCGGTGAGTCCAAGAAGAAATAGGATCCTTGTTAATGCATACCAGCAAGTAAAATTGAAAGTTATAGCTGCACTTTTGTGAGTCCAATTGCTTTGCTCATAGGTTCGGATTAATAGCTGAAGACTAGGATTGGTTGGCAAAACCTAGTTCATTTGTGAGTAAAGTTTTGATTTTAAGGGGTGCTCTTATAGTCTTAAGTTTATGTGCTGATTTTTAGTTCTTTTTTTAGTCCTTTAGAGATGGCCAAAAGCTGTTAAGATATTCTGGAAAATACCTTCCAAAATAGCCCCAGACATTATTTTTTATAACACATCTTTCTGTGCCACACTATTGTCTGATACTTTTATTAGTCTTAGTCTTCTACTTGAAAAGAATGGAAAGCTGACAAGAGTTGATTTCAACAAGATTGTCAACGCTACATACAATATGGAAAAATAGATAATGTCAACAGAATAAAATGCTGTTCTTGAATAATAGGTTCCTGCTGCTAAATAAAAGCTAAAAGGTCAGTAGATTATTGTTTTCCAAATGGGAGACGTTGAGTCTGTGGCAATGCTCTGTGTTGGCATTGACGCTCTTTATTATGAAGAGTGACTGCTAAAAAATTTAATACTGCGTTTCAGGAATTACATAACTTCACAAATCCGTTTTCAAATCATATTATTTATACAGTTCTATTTAGTATATTCTCTTTATGCAGACACTAAATAGGCATGACCCATGGTTTGATGCATGCACATGGCATATTCTGTTTTATTGACAGAAGCTAGAGAAATAAAGTTGAACCAGGGGTGAAATCCAGCAGGTTGGCAGGTTCTGGAGAACTGGCAGCGAACTGGCAACGGAAATTTTGGGTGGTTTGGAGAACTGGCAAATACCACCCCTGGCTGGTCCCAGGAGTGGGGTGGGAATGGAGATTTTTCAATACCCTTCCCCCAGGAGTGGGGAGAGAATGGGGATTTTTGTAGTATCCTTTACCTGCTATGCCCACTAAGCCACACCCACAGAACCAGTAGTAAAAAAAATGAATTTCACCACTGACTTGAACTACTCAGACACAACTACTCAGCACAACTACTTGTGCTTAATATATGCATTTTAATAGCAATTTAGTTGATAATATTTTTATAATTACCATCGTAGACAAAAAATATTGAGCCGAGCAAAGAAATCTGCATATAAATGTGTACCATTCTAATGCATGGCTTTCCCTTTCCATCTTCCTCCCTTACCCTTGGTTTTCTATGCAATCCACTATGCCTATCTGTTCTTTGTGAAGCCCTTAGGTGTGTATGCCCTTCCATTGTCTTGTCTTGGTCTCCAGTAATGTGGTGCATATAGAGTTAAGTTATTGTTGGACTTTTCTTTACAATTATATGGAAGAAAATCATGCATTCTGAGACTGTTGAAGACCTTCTCGTCACAGGTGCTACAACTGACAACTGTGCTTTTCTGATTGTAATTTTGGCTAAAAATTAATATTCTGGTTTTTAATTGAGAGCAAGGGTGGTCTAAAGATTAAGGTGCTAGACCAGCATGAAGAAACTGGACTTCTGTTCTTGCCTGAGGTATAGGCACTAAATCAGTTGAATGTCTTTGGGACAGTTACTCATTCTCAGCCCTAGAAAGAAGGTAATGGAAAACCGCTTCCAGAACTGTTACCTAGAAAACTGCATGGACTTGTCTACATAGTCACCAGGAGTTGAGATCAAGACTTATAAACTTGTAAAAGTGCCCCTCCCACCCAGTGTTTAATGTGATTAGCTTCTTAATTGACTTGGGGTTTTTTCAAGTGGTACAACAAATTCTTGCACTATATTTCATTAGTGATTGTGTTTCCAATGTAACTCTGAGTTTATTGAATTAGCAATGGATATTTGCCTGTTAACTGAGCAGTACAGAACCAGAAAAAGTAATGTGATATACTATTTAGGATTTTGGACTACAGCAGAGGTGACTTGGGTTAGAAACTCTGCTTATCCATATGTTTACTGAGTGAAGTTGAGTCAGTTACTATGAGTCCCTTGGCAGGAAGACTGATAGAGTAAAGGATAATATTATGCATCTTTTCTTTTTTGGACTAGCTGAAATTTCCCATGGTTATCTGAAGAAACAGATACTACTGGAACACATGATTAAACATTTGTTTTCTGTCTTTAGGCTGAAGGACAGACTTTCCAGTTTCCAAACTTGTTTCCAGAGAAGGACAAAGCTCCTGAGCCTGAGTCTCCTGAAGAAATTGCGAACAGAGTTGAAACAGAGAAACAGAAGAAAATTAATGATCTTAAACGTGGAGATGTTCCTAACTGGTTCTGGCATTGATAGAAGATCTGCTGTTTTAGGTTGGGGACTTTGGAGGGATAGGAACACTTTTCATTCACTCTTAGACTTGCTTTTTTAAAGCCATTGTGTTTGTAAGACCTTTACAAATATATTTAATCCCTATTTTGTGCAGCAGTTATTTTGGTAAAAAATGAAGAGATCTAGACAAAGAAGGTGGCAAGTGTGGGACAAGTTCATCAGCTTCAACTGTGGTTCATATTCATGCTTGGAGGCAAGGAAGACTTACTTGTATCTGTTCTTCATTAAACCATTGGACAATATCTACATGGGTATTGTAGTGATCAAGGCATTAAGAGTTGGAATTATCTGGTTACGACTAAAATGAGACACGCTAAATCTTTGAACTGCTCCCTTGGAGTGTGAGATGGAATATGATTCTTCTCATATTAACAGAGTATTGGTTTGGAGGTAGAAATGGTATAATGTGTTCTTGGAGCCTAAAGTTCTCAAAACATACATATTCCAACTGAATCTCATCCAGTAAAAGCCATTGTCGGCCTATGTTCTTTATTTGTTGGCTCCATCTCTAGAGAATATGGGTGTATAGAAGTGGAAAATGGTCATTTCTAAAAGTCAGGGGAAAGTAGCCCACTCAAAATGTTCTGAGTTGGCTGTAGCTAGACAGAACAAAACTTAAAATGTTTTGAGCATTCTGGCAATGGGAAACAATAGAAGCTTGGAACCAATCTCATTGTTCCCTGATTTTCACTTCAGGGATCACACGAGGTAGATAAGTGCTATGCTGAATTTAGATGTGGGCTGCAAGAAAACTTTGAATCAATTTATTTTCTGAAAACATTTCCAAGGAATTTTTCTATGCAAATGAACATAACTCTATTGATCTTACTTAGCTCAGTGTCCACAGTCTGTACAAATATTTGAGTTACGTGTTTTTGATGTAAGGGAGGGAGATCTATGAAATTCCCTCTTTTCAACTTTTTTAGAACAATAACTCCAAAAACAAACCTACAACTTTGAAACTTCAAACCTGCCTAAATTTTGTTGCCAACATCCCTTTTTAACTATTGACTACTATATGCCATCCAATGTACCGAAATGTAGATCAAGGGCATGAGTTTTAAAATACATATATATTGAAAATATTTTTTTTTAATCCTGTAAAAGAAACAACAATTTTTACCCAGTTCTAGTACACTCTGGCTAATAAGCATGAGTATATTTTAGCCCATAAAATCTTGCTTTTGGGTGGATTTCTGTTCTTGTTTGTACTAGTTTGTTTTACCTGTTAAGCAAAACAAAATGCTTAAATTGTGGCATGTTAACAGTAATGACCGCTGCCCCAATACTGTGTTTGTCAATGATCAATAAACCAATAAAATATTCTACGTTCACTCTATAGAATTTGAACACTGCAATAATATTAGCAATGCTTATACATTACCCATAATGAGTACGTACTTGCATCTGCCTACCAGTTCCTTGCCCATAATAAGAAAATACAACTCATATACATTGAATTGAACTCACGAACTTTTAACAGCAAATAATGCTCACAGGACAACGATAGAGATACAGATACAACACTGTATAAGCAAATCACTGTAGTTGGCTTGAACCACATACAAACACACATACACACACACACAGGATAATGAATAGATGCAATTGAATCTTCATTATCCCGTGGGGTGGGGGTTCATGGGTCTCAAGACTAGCGCAACCTGTCAAATTTCATTAGCCATTCATGGCTATTTGAAAGATGGTCCGTGGAGACTGGTGGCTGGATCTGTCTCTAGTTCAGATGATGCTACAGACTGGCAGGCTTCCAGTGTGCATCACTCCAATGGTGTAATGACTGGGATGGAAGCAGTAGCTTATGCCACTGGAGCGATGCAGGCTGAAACTTCAGCCAATTTGTAACTGACATCAGCCTTAAGTTGGCAGTGGGTAGGTGACAACTAGCCTGGAGACTGAGGTAAGGGGCTAACCTTCAGGAAAAACTCAGATTGGTCTTTTAAGAGTTGTTTCAACAAATGGTTGTCCAGTTGTGAGTTAATCAACTGCTTTAGTAATGTTCTCCCTACAGTAAACGAGTGATTTATTGACAGAAGAGGATAGGTAGAAACCAGATTAATCCATTTTAAGCATGCCAAAAGTACATGCTGCAAAAGAACTGTCAGAGGAAATTTAAGCAGGTTAATAATTCCTCCTGCTCAACAATGTACTGAACAGACATTTAAAACAGGGAAAAGGAATAGAGGGCCAAGTCACTCCTCACTCTAAAATGGACTACTAAGTTCTACTGAGAGAGAATTCCTATTTCTTAACTTTGGGAAAGTTTGCATTTTACACACACATGTTTAGTATTCAGTTGCTAACCCTACACCAGATCCTCTTAAAGATGGCCCCACTTTTTCCTCTGGCATGACTAAACACTGCCTTAAGAGGGTACTCTTATTCTTGTGCTAGCCAGGGACAAACCTGTTCTAAAAGTCTGGTTTCTGCTAGTGGTGAGGCATCAACTAGAGATCTGAGCCTCTTCCTCTTGGCGATTACCTAGCCTCTTTGGCCTAGGACCTAAAGCCACCAGGGTCCATCAGGGAAGTCCATCAGGGAAGTTGCATGACTGGCTATTCTCTGCTTCAATGTCTGGCTTGTTTGGGGGCTTCAAGCATCACGAAACTGCAGGGTTAAGTCAATTTGCTAAGGCTCTGGAGTTTAGCAAGACTTTTTCTAGTAAACGAAATACGAGCATTGCCAGCCTGGGCACAGCCTAGCCTATATTTTGTTGAAAAGAAGCATAGGTCAAGCACAGAGATCTCAGCAATGCGCTTGGAGAAGGATATTCCAGCAGGTAAGAGAAAACGTACAAGATGTCATACTTTGTTTCTTGCTATTTAAAGAAAACCCAGTGTTAACTCCTGTGTTAACTATGGGAAGGCCATCCCTACCCTCCAGCACTGGATTTGACCTCTGCTTCATTCATAATGCCCATCTAGTGACACTTCCTGCTACCAAAGATTCAGGCATATTACTAATGCTGTGTTTCCTCAGAGTTGCCTTCCATTTTCTCTTGCCCTCTCTTCCTCTAGATGTTCCTTCTCACCTAGGGTGACTTTAGCCATTAGGATTTTAATGGAAATAGGAAAGATAGAGGATATAGTTAGTTGTCCCTAAATTGGGGGAGCTTAACTTACAAAACCTTAAATTTCAAATGGAAAGAAGCGGCTCTTATTCACACATAAAAGTTAAAATGTCTGAGAGGCAGATTTAACTCTACATCCATATTGTTTTCTTGGCAATGCTGTGCAATGCCAGTGGTGCCTCCTGGCATTTTTCTTCTGATCCCTAGTCAACAGTTTGGCTTTTCTAGATTGTTCTCTAACCATGTAATCTCTCTTCCAAGATCAACTGGGGTAGGAAACCACCACTTACTGAGACAATTGAAGATAATTGCTCCCAAAGAAACTGACTTTATTGATTGATTATTTGATTTTTAAGGCTTTGACTGAAGTAATGGGAATGATTTACTGAAGAGGGGATTAAAGGGAAGAGTGACATAGGGGAGACAGAAATGAATATAGTTTTATAAATGGAGAGAGGGGGAAATTCCTCTTACATAATCTATACTTCGTTCAGACTAAAGAAAAGTTATTTGATGGGGCAGAAACATTTGGAGTAGACAACAAGTTTAGGGCAATGACCTTCAACAGCAGTATTAGTAGCATGTACTTAAATCAGTGCTGCTTCTCTTCTGCTACACCTTCCCTACCACATCCATCCTTATTTTGCAACATTTGTATCATGCTTAATTACTCCCCAATATTTAATTGTTAGGTACTCATTCAACCAACCTAGAAGATTAGCTGCATTTTGACAGATTTTTAGAGCCAGCTTTGCTGTTCCTCTTAACATTCAAGTTTATTATCAATTAAACTAGCATGGTGCGGCATTCTCTGTGGGGGAAAATAGATTCTTTGGCTTGCCTAGGCAGCATTAATTCAATCTGTTTTTGGCTTTTAAGCTATTTAACCATCTTCCCCACGCCCTTTTGCTGTCACCAATTCTTTTTAATTTAACAAAACCTAATCCTAAATACACTATTTAGCATTAGACAAGGGAAAACAGACTATGTGTGATTAGGGCTACTGGGTTAAAGCCACCATTAAATTATAGAAACTATTGAATGGCCATCTTGAGTTTGGCAGCCCAATTCTGGAAATTTGACCATATAGGCATTCCCCCCTCTCCTCCCTCCCCATTCATACCCAACTTCTGGGTATATGCAGCTCAAGGTGAATTCAAGAGGCATAGTTCCTATCACATACCATGTATTTTGCCCCCAAATGTTTCTAAGCGTCAATATAGATGTGGGTCAAGGTGTCCAGCACTTGATGTTTTGCTAGGTTTCAACAGCCTTTAACTGGTGGCTCTTTTGCTCTTCTCATTACTTTTTACTCTATACCAAAAATTAAGCAAGAGGAAAGAGATTACCTAGGGCCGGGATGGTTAACCTTTTTAGTGTCAAGTGCCCAAAGCGTGTGCAAATGCACACATACGTGCCCCAATCCCCAAATTGCAATGCGAGCACCCCGGTGCATGCGCCCATGTTCCCCATACACGCACCCCCATGCATGCCCTCTGGAAAGCCTGGAAGCTTTCCAGTCCCAAAATGGGGCATGGGGGGGGGGGCTTGTGTGGCACCCCCACGCTCTGTTTTGGCTTCCCCAATCTCCACAGTTTCTCCCCCCAGATGCCCTAGCTTTCTCCTCCATTTCTCCCATGGAGAGGCACCTGTGGAGGGTGGAACCTGCAGAGATTGGGGAAGGCACAGGCGGCAGACATGCAGGAAAAAGCCAGGGAGCACTGGGGGAGAGAAAGATAGGGAGTGCTGGGGAGGGGGGAGAACTGCAGAGATTGGTGAAGCCCCCCCCCCCCCGCACATGCACAGCAGAGACCAGCTGGCCAGAGGGAGGCGTGCACTGTGGTGTGAAACCGCAGTGGAGCTGGGCTGGGGTGATGGTTGGCGTGCCCGCAGAGGGATCTGCATGCCACCTGTGGCATGTGTGCCATAGGTTCACCATCACAGACC